TCTGGAGCATTCACCTTTTCTATTAGTCCTGATGATCATAAGACATAATGGGAACATACAGAAATTTACAATTGCCATTGATGACAACTGTTTTCCCCCCATTTTGGAAGAATTTTTTGCCCACATCCTGTTGCCTTTAGAACAGTAATTATAGAAAAAGCTCCCTAATGAGGAACAGCAACAAAAAAAAAACTGACCAGGATTTTACTCTAATAAATAACTGGAAAAAAAAAACAGTTTTGGCTAGTCATATAAGTGAGACATAACCACCCTGCCATTTAACGGCCACAGGGATTGAAAGAAAATGTAGGTGTCCTTTTAGTGGCTTTGCTAAAACCCACAGTTTAGTTGGGTCTCTGTCAGAGGTCATGGCTCTTACAACAGGACAATGACCCAAAGCACACGTCAAAGAGCACCCAGAAATGGTTTAATTCAAAGCACTGGAGAGTACTGAGTTAATCAACAATGAGTCCAGATGTCAATCCCATAGAGACCCTGCGGAGAGATCTCAAAACAGTAGTTGGAAAAAGGAACCCTTCCAATCTGAGAGACCTGGAGCAGTTGGTGAAAGAAGAGTGCTCCAAAATTCCAGTAGAGAGGCGTAAGAAACTCATAAATGGTTACAGGAAGTGATTGATTTCAGTTATTTTTTTCCAAAGGGGGTGCTACCAAATATTAATATGGCAGGAGCCATATATTGAGGGTGCCTATAATTGTGTCCAGTTCATTTTTGGAGTTTTGGGTGGAATGTCTCAGATTTGGCTTTTTGTTTCTCCTCTTTTTTTTCTGTCAGATCAATACAAACAAAAGAAATAAACATGAGAATGTAACAATTTGCTGGGTGAAGTGGTGCATTAGCTGACAGAAATGCAGGGGTGCCAATATTTTTGGCCATGACTATAGTGGGTAAAATAAGTATTGAACATGTCACCATTTTTCTAGGTAAATATATTTCTAAAGGTGCTATTGACATGACATTTTCACCACATGTAAGTGACAACCCATGCAATCCATACATACAATGAAACCAAAACAAATAAGTTCAGAAATTAAGTTATGTGTAATAAAATGCAATTATACATGGAAAATGTATTGAACTCACTAACTGAAATGTATTTAATACTTCGTACAAAATCCTTTATTGGTAAAGACAGCTTCAAGATGCCGCCTGTATGGAGAAACTAGTCACATGTATTGCTCAGGTGTGATTTTGGTCCATTCTTCCACACAAATAGTTTTCAAATCTTATAGGTTCTGTGGGCCCCTTCTATGAACTCTGACCTTTAGTTCTTTCCATAGATTTTCTATTGGATTCAAGTGAGGTGATTGGCTGGGCTATTCTAGCAGCTTTATTTTCTTTCTTTGGAACCAATTGAGAGTTTCCTTGGCTTTGTGTTTGAGAACTTTTTTTGCTGAAATTTTCACCATTTGTTTAATCTTCATCAGATTGATGGCAACAGATTTTTATCAAGAATGCCTTCATGTGTTCAATACTTTTTCCCTGTGTCATTCCATTTTATTACACATACAGTACCTCCAAAAAGTATTCACAGCAGGGCTTAACTTTTGTCACATTTTGTTATGTTACAGCCTTATTCTGAAATGGATTAAATAAATTAATTTTTTTCCTCAATGTTCTACAAACAATACCCCATAATGACAATGTGAAAGAAGTTCGTTTTTAAATCTTTGCAATTTATTAAAAATACAAAATACAAAAAAAAAAAAACACATTTACAGTTCTGCTCAAAAGTTTGTATACCCTGGCAGAAATTGTGAAATTTTGGCATTGATATTGAAAATATGACTAATCATGCCAAAAAATGCTTTTATTGAAGGATGATAATCACATGAAGCCATTTATTATCAAATAAAATAGTTGTTTGGCTCCTTTTTAAATCATAATGTTAACAGAAATCACACAAATGGCCATGATCAAAAGTTTACATACCCTGGAATGTTTGGCCTTAGTACAGACACACAAGGTGATACAACGGGCTAAAATGCCAGTTAGAGGTTAATGTCCCACATCTGTGACTTTTTAAATTGCAATTAGTGTCAGTGTATAAATAGTCAATGAGTTTGTTAGCTCTTACATGGATGCACTGACTAGGCTAGATACTGAGCCATGGGGATCAGAAATTAACTGTCAAAAGTCCTGCGTAACAAGGCAATAAAACTTTATAAAGATGGAAAAGGACATAAAAAGATGTCCAAAGCCTTGAATATGCCAATAAGTACTGTTAAATCACCTATTAAGAAGTGGAAGCAAAGGTCAGGTAGACTGAGAAAGATTGCAGCCACAACTGGCAGAAGAATTGTTCGGGGTACAAAGGGTGTAATTAGAGCAGAGTTCCACTCGACCTATAAAAAAGAAAAAAGTCAGCAGCTACAAAAACAGCCACTTACCTGTCCCTCAGTGCCGTGGTGTGTCCCCTGCAGCTCGTTTCACCGGCCGTCCTGTATTCCAGGAGGCCGGCATCTTCAGTGTGGGCACCCAGCTGTGATAGTTTGGCAGCTTCACAGTTTCGCTGCACATCATGAATAGTCTTGTAGTCTTCTGGGACCTGCCCCAAAAGACTACAGGTACCAATCCTTAATGGGGAGCGGGGAAGCAGTTCTTAAAGCGGAACTTCCCCTTTTGGGTGGAGCTCCGCTTTAAGTCAGTGCCATTTACAGTTTGGCTGGGGATCAATTTCATTGACTAAAATATTTTCATTGACTAAATTAAAACTATTTTAGTCGACTAAAATAAGACTAAAGCTAAAACAATTCAGATGACTAAAATACGGCTAAAACTAAAATGGTATTTTAGTCAAAAGACTATGACTAAAACCAACGTAACATTTAACGTGAAAATTAACACTCCTACTGTAACACTTCAAGCTTGCCCCTTCTACAGTTATAGGTATATAAAACAATAAAAATAAGTGCCTATACTGTTTAAAATCCAGTAGTACACCATCTCACCCTGCTCTGCACATGCTTAGTTGCTCTATATTTTTTTGGCTCTGTGTCGAATTTGTAGAGGCTGATCTACTGACAACCTAAAGATTTACTGCTGCCCAGGGACTCTGGGCTTCTGCAAAATTACAGCCTCCAGCAAGAAGAAACAGGAGCAGTCATGGAGGCAATTTACAGCACATGCTAATTTGGTAGCATAATTATTAATGTGAATATATGTTTCCTTGCTAAAGAACATTATTTTTTAACAAGTAGTTATGGGTAAAGTTCTGCTTTAAACAGCTATTCATTTCTTGCAATGGATAGAAAGCTGTGTGAGTGCTTTATAGCCTGCTGCCTTTATTAAAGAAGTACAGCCAACGCTCTTTTGGCTGTAGTTCTACTGTGCATCACAGGAGTGCACTTTGTTCTGCACTCCTGTGACCCGTTTTCAGCTGACAGTGGGCTGAAGCCTGCGATCGGCTGACAACACTCATTGAATTGTATAGTTTACAGCAGAGGTCCCCAACCCCTGGGCCATGGACTGGTACCGGTCCGTGGCCTGTTAAGTCACTGCGCTGCACAGCAGGGGGCTTGATCTGTATTAGTCAGTTCACATGGGAATCGAGAGTTGCTAGAATGCTTTAACACTCCGACAGCTGTCCGTTCCCAGCTGTAGTAGGGGGCAGTGTGGTGCACGATTTAGCACATCATATGGCTGCGCTGCTGTACAGTGCCATGCAATTAAATGTGATAAAATTATTATTATTATTATTATACAGGATTTATATAGTGCCAACAGTTTGCGCAGCGCTTTACAATATAAAGGGAGACAGTACAATTACAATGCATTTCAGTACAGAAGGAATAGGAGGGCCCTGCTCGTGGAGCTTACAATCTAAAGATGCAGCACGTCTGTAATTTATCGCAACATGTTGCAGTGAAACCATAGGCTGTGTTGCAGTACGAATGGGACACCCAGGAAACAATCATTTCCTGTGTGTCCTTGCAGTGACAGATGTTTTACAATGCAGTAGCCCTGTGTGAATTAGCCCTACAGCCACTCACATTACCGCCTGAGCGTCATCTCCCGTCAAATCAGTGGCAATATTGGCTTCTCATAGGAACGCGAACCTTACTGTAAACTACGCATTTGAGTGATTTAGGTTACGCACTCATTATGGGAATCTAATGCCTGATAATCTGAGGTGAAACTGAAGTAGTGATGCTAGCACTGGAGAACAAGCTGCAAATACAGATCATTAGCAAAGAGACTCCAATGAAAACCCTTTGAGTCTAGGTTCACACCCATGTGTTTTTCCGCTGCGTTTTGCAGAAAACACACAGCAGTCCATTTAACGTGATTTTTTTATAGTACAGGTTCACATCTTCGCGTTTTCACCCAGTGCGTTTTTTGGAAAGGGTCATGGACTTTTTAAAACGCAAAACATTGTGTTTTTGATTCTATAGACTTAAATGGAGACACTGCAGAAAAGCATGTAGTGCTTTTTTGATGCGTTTTATTCTGCCCAGCAACAAGTTGGGAAAAAAACTGCATAAAAAAAGCGGCAAAAAAGCACATGCAATAATAAAAAAACGCACCGCAAAAACCACTAGAGAAACACATCAAACGCAAACTACATAGGTGTGAACCTGGCCTTAGTGAGTGTCAAGTGGCATCAGGTAGCATATTTCCCCCCGATCTGTGTGGAAATTTGTCCATGGCGCTAAAAAGGTTGGGGACCACTGGTTTTTACAGAACACTGTACTAATTGTTCTCCCTGCCTTACCTATGCATGTTATAAACATGTACTCATGATTCTAGCAAGGCCAGTATTAATAAACAAAGGTAGATAGCACAGTGAGAACACTGCCTGCCTACACATTCACATTACTGGAACCCTTTTCTACTAAGTCAAAGATCAACAAAGAGGTTTACATGTAAATAACACTTATTTTTTTCTGACTATTAAACACTTTTTATGAATATATGAGAAAATAGCATCCTGCTGTACTGTGCTTGAAATTTAATTGTTTTTTGTTGTTTTATGATACAGGTGGAAGAGCTCAATAAGCAGCTATTGATCGCTAATATTAACCTGGAGAAGGCTCAGAATGAGTGTGCTCAGCTCAGTCAAGATTTTGGTAAACAGCTACAAGAATTAAATGTAAGAATGCAATATGAGTGCTCTGTATCTAGTTGGGAAGTCTTAATATTGGTAGAGAAGAAAAATCCGGTCAGCCGCTCATCCGGTAAAATCACCTTTTTTTGGACATATTCAAAATAAACACTCCACAATATACAAAAATGGGAAAATAGCCCTCCAACTAATGCATTTCACACCACCATCCGTGCTTCACCGCTTCCATACCGGGCACTTTTACACCTTCCTGCCCAGGCCATTTTTCAGGTTTCAGCGCTCACACTTTGAATGACAATTGCACGGTCATACAACATTGTACCCAAACTAAAATTGTATCATTTTCTTCACACAACTAGAGCTTTCTTTTGGTGGTATTTAATCACCACTGGGGTTTTTATTTTTTGCTAAATTAACAAAAAAAGACAAAAATTGTGAAAAATAAACATGTTTTTCTTTGTTTCTGTTATAAAAGTTTACAAATAAATAATTGTTCTTCATAAATTTAGGCCGAGATGTATTCTGCTACATGTCTTTGGTGAAAATAACCCAAATTAGGATGTATTATTTAGTTTGTAGGAAAGTTATAGAGTTCACAAACTATGGTATAGATCTGAATATTGATCAATCCTGAAGTACTGAGAGCCAATCTAATTTCTTGAGGTCCAAGAATGTCAGAATAGTATAGATATCCCCCAAAAATGACCCCTTTTTGCAAAGTAGAGTAGTTTGACGTACTTCATAAGAGGCATGGCAAGTTTTTTGAAGTTGTATTTTTTTTGTCATAATGTTTCGGAAAAGGAAAAAGTTAAAAAAATTATTTTCACTATTTTTTGTTACATACTGTCACCAGTGCAGTACAACGTCATCATATAACTGGCATGGCGGTGAACAGGGACACTGACTGGTGACATTATGAAAAAAAATATATAATTTTTTTTCATTTTTTTTAAATTTTTTTTGTTATTTTTAATTTTTTATTACATTTTTTCTTTTTTTTAAGATTTTTTTTTTCATATTTCACTGTGACCAAAGTAGTACAATGTTACCATAGTAACATTGTACTACTTTGGGGACGTGATCAGTATTTTTTTTTTACACAATTTGCTTATAGCACAGAATTACTTTGCTATAAGCAAGCATTTACCTGTATGACATCGATTCATTCAGGGTTTTTTTTTTTTTGTGCTTAGCTGTGATTTGCCCACGGCTAATCACATGACACAGCTGGGCTGTGATTGGCCCAGCTTGTGCATGTGATCGCTGTGACCATTCACAGCTAGACACACTAGTATACAATGGAATGAAGTCATCCATTGTATACAACTGCCATGTGACCTGCTGTGATTGGTCATCGAGGTTTTTCTTCCCTACCATGTTGTCTGCTACGAACAGGGCCAGCACTTGCTAGTGTGCGGTGGAGGTGATACAGGTGGAGACCAGCCTTGAAGGGTGATTACTCATCATTCATTTGAAGTCTTAACCACTTTCCGTCCGGCCCATGTACATAAATGGCTGAACGGGAGCAGTGCAGGAGCGGGTGGCCATTTATGAATGTCTTCCCGCACTCCCTGCCTGTGCACGTGGAACAACGATCACTGTACGGGACCTCTGTGTGAGGTCCCGAACATATGATCACTGATTGGCCAATCAGTGATCACATGAATAGTAGTAAGCAAGATGTCACTTGCTGACACCATTGCTTACTACTAGTGAAAACTGTGAATGATCACAGAGGTCACATGGTACAAGGCTATTCACAACAGCCTTGTACCATGTGATAAGCTGTGACCAATCACAGCTATCACATTATTTCTCAATGGCTGCAAGAATGCAGCCAGAGAGAAGGAGAAATTATTGCTTTTACAGTCTTTATGGGTGTAAAAGTAATCAATGTAAAAATAAAAAAAATAAAAAATCTTTATCACCCCCCCCCCCACAAGTAGTACAGTGTCACTATGGTGACACTGTACTGCTAGGGTGACAGTATGTTAAAAAAAAAAAAAAAACCCAAAAAACATAAATAATAATATAAAAATATAAAATAATAATGTAAAACAAATTTTTGAAAAATTATAATTTTTGGTTATAAACTAATTTGGGTTAGATAGCTGAATACATTTTGGTAAAGATTTATGAAGAAAGATTATTTATTTGCAAAATGTTATAAGAAAAAGACTTTTTTTTTCAAAATGTTTGGACTTTTTCATTTATATAGCAAAAAAATAAAAATCCCAGTGGTGAATAAATCCCCCCAAAATAAACTTTTATGTGTCACAAAAAAAATGCTAAAAAATTAATATGGGTACAGTGTTGCATGCCCGCGCAATTCTCATTCAAAGTGTGATAGCACTGAAAGCTGAAAATTGGCCTGGACAGGAAGGGGGTGAAAGTGTCTGGACTTGAAGTGGTTAATATTGTTATTAAATGGTATTTACTATTAAAGTGCAGAAACAAGTAAACATGGTTTTCTTATTCAAAAAAACTGATCTAATACAAAAATATTTCATTTTATTTGCTACAGCAATTACAAGAGGCCCATACAATGTGTGAAAAACAGCTGCACCTAGAAAGAGAGTATAACTGGCAGTTACAGGAACAGGCAAATGTCAGCAAGCTCACCAATGATCACTTACGAAGAGAACTGGTAGAACGGAGTATGGAAGTAGAGCGCCTTCAGGTAATGGTGACTGCAGTAAAAGAAGAGAGTCAGCAAAAGGAAGAAGAGAAGGTATAGTATCATGTGCTGGCATTTCTAATGCAAGAAGATGAGAACACAAGTATCTTGATACAGACTAGACATGTACTATTTATGTTTACATGTTTGAAAGGCCTGAAATTCCATTTGTAATTGAATTAGGTAACTGTCCCAACTCTACAGAGGCAGCAAGGTGCCCACTGGCAATGGGTACAGGTTAGAAATCCTGTCCTGATCACTATTGTTCTCCCCAGGATAAATGATACTAGTGGTATCTACCTGCAGTAATCTCCTGCACCCCCTTCTTTGTGCACTGACATAAACTTATAAACTTGCAGAGTAAAAAAAAAATGACTAAAGCTTTAAAGAGCATGTTGCTTTTTTGCCATAGGGGGTGTTGATTTGGCCCTGCACATCCACCTGCCCTATAAAGTCTTATGTGTCATTTCAACAAAAGCAACATAGATGTTTTGTTTGACCATTAAGGATTATGTACAGTAAACTAAAGATCCCTTTAACTTCAAAGTAGAACTTGCCTCCCAATAAAAAAATGCCTTTTACAATTACAATTTGCAGTCCCCTCTCCAAAGTCCATAAAATATCGGTTGGATCTGCCAGTGAAGTCCACTTAAAGCGGAGCTCCACCCAAAAAGGGAAGTTCCGCTTTAAGGACTCTTCCCCTGCTCCCCATTAAGGATTGGCACATTTGGGGGGAGCGGGTACCTGAATTTAACAGGTACCCGCTCCCACTTCCGTCCGTCCGATCGCCTAGGTGTCCTCCCTCCCTGTAGTCTTTTGGGACACGTGACAGGTCCCAGAAGACTACAGGACCATTCATGAAGCTCAGCGCTACTCGCGCATGGGCAGTGGGTACCCGGCGGTTAAGCCGCAAGCTATCACAGCCGGGTGCCCACACTGAAGATGCCGGCCTCCTGCATCACAGGATGGCCAGTGAAACGGGCTGCGGGGGACACACCGCGGGACCGAGGGACAGGTAAGTGGCAGTTTTTTAAAAGTCAGCAGCTACAGTTTTTGTAGCTGCTGACTTTTATTTTTTGACAGGGTGAGTGGAACTCCGCTTTAATGCAGCTTTCTGTGATGATCTGGCTTGAATTCAGGGCAGAGCTTTTCCACACTGATGTAGGCTCTCCCTGCTTGCACTAGAGTGGGATATAAAAATGTTGCAGTGGATGTGGCTATCAGCATTATTACTGTTGATTCACAAGCCTGTAGCTTGTCGGCCAGCACCTTGCCACCCCTAGTCCTTTCTAGATTGACAGCATTGATTTCTCTGCTGGAAATTTCCCACTGTGAGCTGTAGTGTCTGGGAGGGAAGCATGTGAGACACAAATAAAGGAGGATTTGGCTCAGTTGGGAAGGTAGAGTTAGTATTTATGGGACTTGTGCATCACATAACTAGATTTGGTTCTTGTTTGGACAATCATACAGAATATTTTTTTATATTGTATGTAATGTAATGCAATTATATTGATTTTACCTCCAGCTGCTTACCAGTTTCCAGAATAGTTTATATTGTATGTAATGTAATGCATTTATATTGATTTTACCCTCCACGCTGCTTACCAGTTTTCCAATACTGTATTGCTGTTCTCCAGCAAATACAGGGAATAAGTGTTTGGCCCAACAGATCATTCTAGCCACACAAGTTGCAGAAGTGGTAGCCCACATTCCAGCAAGCACTACATGTCTATCAAACTAATTATACAGTATGTGTGTAATTGAAGTACTCCTATTTTTGTTTTCATATAAAAATACATGCAAAGCATAGACAGCAAGGAAAAACTGGTAGGGTTGATAACCATTCCCTATTTTAGCCAAAATGTAAAAAAAAAAAAAGTTTAGGTTATAGATATGGTTTAAGGCAGATATAAAACATGAGAGATTCTTAAGTAAACAGTATGTTTTGTTATTTTATCAAAGCTGAAAACTATTCAAGTTATGACAGCAAATGTGAGCGTTATCACATGCCAGTTGGAGTCCATGAAAGCTACCTTGCAGAAATTGACAGAGGAGCTGGCAGCCAAAACGCAAAGCCTGAAGAATGCTGAAAAGAACTTAAATGAATCAAAAGTTCATTTGGCAGAGAAAGAAGCAGCATTGAATAATGCAATGGAGGAACTGAGAAAGCTGCGTATATATGCAGAGGCCAAAAAGAAAGAGCTGCAGCAACTTAAAACAGCCACAGAGCAAATGTCCGAGATGTTGGAAGATACTGAAACTCTAAAGTTGCTTTTGGTGGAAAAAGATAACATGATAATGACTCTTCGAGACCAAATTCAGACTTTAACGCGGGTGGTTGAACAGCAGAGCCAAAAAGTGGATTCACTGGAAGCAGAGACGTCCCAACTCTTAGAGGAAGTATTTCTAAAGAATGCGTTTATACAGGAAACTAAGGTAAATACACATTATGGATATTAGTTGGTTACTATATAGTAGATTCATTCTGTTAAAATTAGCATTTTTCATTTGGATTAAAGTATATTTTTTCAGTTTTTTTTCTTTCTTATGTTACTAATTTATCCAGAATTAAACTATGTACTGTATATGAACAGTAAATATATATGTCATGCACTGTGCATATCTGAACAATTCAGCATATGCTGTAAATTTGGCTGAAATTACACTTTATTACTGGTTTTTATACGTAAGTCATCTATTCTTATGTTTGCGTGATTTATAGGTTCTGGCAGAGAAGAAAGAAATGAGAATCCATGAACTGGAAGAGATGTGTAGGTTGTTAAATATGGAGAAATGCAAACTGTCACATGAATGCATTGAAAAGACTTGTGCAGCCAACAAGCTGAGGAAGGAAAGAAAGGAAATTGTAGCTGAGCTCAGAGAAGCACAACGTGAGCTTGCATGCCTATCAGGTAAACCTAAACATAGGTATTGTTCTGGTCATACATCAGCAAATCTTTTAGGAACATTTTTACATTTCTCCAAATGATCATCAAATGTTGCATTGGGAGGAGATTTACAACTTTTGGCTTCTTGGTTGGTCATCACCTTCAGTGGCGTTGAGTCTTTTAAAGTGTTACTAAACCCAGGACCCTGCATTCACTATATTTAGTCTCCCACAGTACACACAACATGGAATTGCAATTATTTTAGTAAATATAAACTGCTAAATACCTTTTCTTATCAGCAGTTAGAGCAATCTTGAGACTTTTATCAGTGTTCAGCTGAGCACATGCTAAAGCGTGTAGGAGGAGTTTTCTTTCTGCTCTAGGAGGATGCAGAGCCCCTGACTGTCTGGACAGTGCTTACTGGCCCTGTGCACTCTCCCAAGAAAAAAAAGAAAATCTTTCTAGCAATACACACCAAACTAAGCATGCACAGAGTGTCTCCACACAATATGTCTTATCAGGAGATAAGAGGGGGGCACTGGAAGAAGGGGAGGATCAGAGAAGTCAGGATCAAACAGCATTTTTACACAGTGCAGAGGATTAACCCCTTAAGCTCCACAGTGAGTATAACAAGCATGCTTTACTGCATATACAGACTGATTTTATTGTTGGTTTAGTAACACTTTAAGTGAAATAAAAGAGGCTGCCCTTGTGTGGTTTAAAGAAGTGCATAAAGTAGCATGTGTTCATAATGGCAAATATTGAGCAAATGTGGTAGGGAATCAATCACATAATAGGCAACAGGAGTTCACAAGTAATGAGCTCCATGTGGCTCTCAAGCCATTGAATGGGTACAACATACATATTCCACAAAATTGAGTCATTGTTGGTCTTATTTTTCCTGTCCAGAGCCTAAATATTGACAATATAATTTCAGCTCATAACTAACTGTTCTGTATTGAAACAGTTTCAGTGGCTTCAGGCTCATATACACCATACTTGTAGAAATACTTCTTCAACAGTTGGCACAAATATGAAATGAAGTCAGCATTGTCTTTAAAAACACAGTATGAGCTTCTATACGAGATTGTTTCTACCACATAGTATATGCCAAGTGGAGGTAAAGGAAACCTATATATCAGGGATTTCTACACATTTTTACCTGTTCCTGGTTGTTTACCTCCTGCTCTGGAGGTTGACATTCCTCATTCAACTCACTAAAGCAGGGTATATACATTGAGTTTTTTTTCTTCAACCAGTGGGTTGAATGCAAAATAAAAAAAATTACAGGTCCCCACATTAACACAAGCAATGTTTCAGGGATCTCTTCCACTATATCTTTGTATTTGTATTTGTATACAGCAGGGACTCCTCCATCAAAATACACGGATCAGCCCTGCAGCCATTGGCTTCAAGTGCTGATTGAATGCTGGTGCCCCAGCATGACTTTTTGAACAAAGCAGGTTGTTAGACCAGCATCTGTTGAACAGACAGCGGTACACATTTTCACACATATCAGTTCAACAGGAACTGGCTGACTTTCAGGATAAAACTCTGAAATCACTGTGAAATTCAGTATTAGCACATCAGAGCATGGGAAATGAAGAGGTTGCCCACCTCCATCCCACAACAGAAGTAACATAAGGTAGCTGATGTTCTGTGTATGCCTTTTTTTTTTGCAGATGATTATGAAATACTAAAAAGGAACAACCAAAATCAAACTGGAGATACAGAAAATGCAACTGCCATTCTGAAATTGCAGCTAAAAGCAGCTATTGCTGAGCTGGCACAGACCAAAAACACCTTGAAAACTGTAGAGGATTGTGATGGTCATGGTAAGAATTGCTACTTATAACTGTATTACTACATTATGTGATAAAAGATAAAATTCTCCAAATGTATATATGTGATTTTTTTTTCTCAAACTTCTTTACCTCTGTTTGTTTGTTTGTTTTTGTTTTTTTTTACCATTGTTGATATTAACCACTTCAAGTCCAGACACTTTTACCCCCTTCCTGTCTAGGCCAATTTTCAGCTTTCAGTGCTATCACACTTTGAATGACAATTTCGCGGTCATGCAGCACTGTACCCATATGAATTTTTTACCATTTTTTTTGACAGATAAAGCTTTATTTTGATGGTATTTATTCACCACTGGGATTTTTATTTTTTTTGTCATGTAAATGAAAAATTCCAAACATTTTGAAATAAAGTGTTTTTCTTATAAAATTTTGCAAATAAATAGTATTTCATCATAAATCTTGGCCAAAATTTATTCTGTTATCTTGGCCAAAAAAAAAAAAAAAAAAATAACCCAAATTAGTTTATAACCAAAATTATAATATTTAAACATTTTTTACATTTTTACTGTACTACTTGTGCGGGGTGATCAAGATTTTTTTTTTTTTTGTAACACTGATTGCTTTTACACCCATAAAGGCTGTAAAAGCAATCATTTCTCCTTCTCTCTAGCTGCATTCTTGCAGCTATTGAGAAATACTGTGTGAGCTGTGATTGGTCACAGCTTGTCACATGGTACAAGGCTGTTGTGAATAGCCTTGTACCATGTGACCTCTGTGATCATTCACAGATTTCACACGTAGTAAGCAATGATGTCACAAGTGACATCTTGCTTACTACTCTGCATGTGATCACCGATTGGCCAATGATCGCGACCTTGTACAGAGGTCCCGTAGGACGATCGGTGTTACACTGTGTCCAGAGGACACAGTGGGCACCGGATCGCTGTGCTGCACGCTCCCAGGGAGTGCGCACAAGCAGGGTGTGGGGAGGCCGTTTATAAATGGCCACCCGACCCTGCACTGCCACCGTCCGGCCGTTTATATACAATGGCCGGACGGGAGGTGGTTAAAGTGGCTTGAACCATTATCTCTCATTTTTAAGGTATTTATTTTAAGGCATTTCAACATTTCTTCTTTAGATGCTTAAAAAAACAATGCAAGCTTCAAATGGAACCACAGGCAAATTAAAAAAAATGACATATATGACACAGTCTGTCAGTAGCATTAACACGGTAGTCTTTGTTTTTCCGAGTCCCCTCTGTAACATAGTTTAATATCTGTAATCTGGCCAGTAGGCCTCTTATTTTTCAACTTCCTTTAACAGTCTAAGATGTCCAGCAAAAGGGGTTAGAGGGTTAAGACAAACCATTTAACACTGAAAGGACTGCTTACAATGTTTTGTTATTATTAATTTATATAAAAACCTTTAACCCAAAAGGAAAAAATAGTTCCAAAAAGTTGTAGGAGTTAGGCTTTAATTTGTTGGTCACTTATGTAAAGTCCATCTAAAGCTAATAGTCCATCTAACACTACCCACTCTACAGGGTCACAATGCTGCTATCCAAGGGTGGCTATGTTGCCTCTCCATAGATACAGTGAAGGATTGAGGGTTGCTACCCTAAGACAGAAGGTGTGTTACTGGTCAGATCACCAAGTCAAAATAAAAGCCAAAAAAGTGATTAAATTATTATTATTTAAAACAAACAAAATAAGATTTATAAATAACAATAACATGTTTATACTTACCTGCTTTGTGCAGTAGTTTTGCACAGAGCAGCCCTGATCTTCCTCTTCTCGAGTCCTCCGCCAGCGCTCCTGGCCCCTTTCCCCTGTTGGGTGCCCCCACAGCAAGCAGCTATGGGGGCACCCGTTGCTCCATGTGTCCATTCACACATGGAGCCGTGACTCAGCCCCACCCCCTCTCTCTTCTCTTTGGCTCACTGGCTGTGATTGACAGCAGTGGGAGCCAATGGCTTCTGCTTCTGTCTCATCCAGTGAGGAGAGGGAGTCCCGGGATAGATTGAGGGGGCTGCTGCACAAAGAAGGTTTTTTACCTTCATGAAAAGAATGCTTGAAGGTAAAACTCTGGGTGGCAGGTTCTGCCCCCTCATAAGTTCCACTCTCAGTATGTATTACCGCTCCTCAAGGAAGAGAGACTCCCAATCTCCAAGCACAGCTCCTCTTGTAGGTGCTAGCCCAGCTCGTGTGCTGCATAGATGAGAACAAAGGACGTCTGATCGGCTGCACTCCAAACAATCTGCTTATACAATCCACAATACACAATACAGACAGTGGAAATACAGTGGGGCACTGGCAGGTAAATGCGTTTCCTGCTAAAGTCAGCACTTATTCATTACCCCATAAGCGCTGTCTTTACCGTGAAACGCGTTTACCTGCCAGTCCCCCACTGTATTTCTACTGTCTGTATTTATTTTACTTGGTTCAATAAAGTGGATTGTTTGGAGTGCAGCCGTCCTTTTTTTTTCTTCGACTCTCAGTAGGTAACAATAATCTTCATTACGGTAGAAGTGTGCTCCAAAGGAAAAACAATAGAACAGGGGCACGCATAGTGTAGTAATTATGTGAACATGTTATTAAGTAAAAATATTTTGCACTCACATAAGTAAAACAATATATGCAATGTATGGTGTGGCCCTTGATCAATAAAATCTCTTTTCTGGCCCACACAACGTAGAAAGTAGAGACTGTTGCGCGAGGAAGTTGGGAGAATCGGTAAAAATCTGCTATCAAATAAAATATTACAGAAAAGGTTTAAAATGTTTTACAGGCAATCTGCAACTTAACTTGTTTAATAAATATGTAATAATTGTGAAACTTTGTTGAATCATAATCTTGTATTAATATCTTCTATTTTAATCTCTTCTTACAGCTATTAAAATTGCAACAAGAATGCAGAAGAAAATCACTGCCAAAAGAGAACAGATTGATACTTTACAAACTAGGATTCAGTTCTTGGAGGAGGCCCTGTCTAATGCAACAAAGGTATATTTCATAGATTTTTATGCTTGATATACAAGATAGTCAAACCATACCATAAGTGTCCACACATACCTTAGGTGATATCCAGATTGTTCTGGAATTCCTAAAATTGGAGTTCTCAACCAATTGTGACTAAGGCAAGCCATTGATGAATCGATTTTCTTTCCGTCCACCACGGATAGAAGGAAATCAAATCGATCGATCCCCCATCACCACTGACTGTGCCTCCCACAGCGCTGTTGTGTTCTGCTGGGGAGGGGGGGGGGGCGTAGGGAGCCTTCCTGGCTGGCAGAAGATAATTTAGTATGTAATTACTGGCTATAGCTTCTACAGTAATCATTATGTTCTCAATTTATAATAAGAAAGCACCATCTCATAACTATGTTTCAATAAACAAACAAAGCACAACCAATAATCAAGGCAGCTACCCCTTTAGCCCATTAACAATAAGAAACGTACAAACTCCACTTAATGTATATAGTAGAAATTCAAAAACAGAAATACATGTGATGTAATGTGATAAAAGGTCCAAAGAGGGGCGGACTGACCATTTGGAAACTCGGGCACTGTCCGAGGGCCCGGGGTCAGTAGGGGGCCCCATGAGATGCCCCTGGTACCTTTTTCATAGGCTTTTTTGAGTTTGGGCAAGGACACAGGGGCCCCATGATCCCCTATTGCCCGGGGGCCCCATGAGTTGTCAGTCCACCCCTGGGTCCAAATGATATATAGTAAAAAGTCCCCAAACACCAACATGTTCAAAAAGGGTGCACACAGATAGACTGCACACTCACCAAATGACATCGACCAACAAAGCAGTCAGCAAGCATCAGAGATCAGATCTTGTATCTGGTAAGATAGGCTATCCACTTTATGCAGAATCGCTGAAGCTCATCCACTCAATAAAACCACTATTAAACATCCTCCATTGCCAAACAAATGTCACAGAAAAAGCCCAAAAGAGATACTTTTTGCAGTATGCTTTATTAAATGGAGTAAAGGCACAAACCACATGTTGGCCGTGGAAATGAGCGGCAGTGTGAGGGAAGGGATCCCCTTAGTGAGCTGTTTTTTGTTGGTGTTAGTGATAGGCTTGAAGGCCGTTCGCGTGTTCAGTGAACTTTTTCTTCCCATTTTTGGGAGGTGGGGTTCCCCTTAACGGTCCGACCAGGTCTAAAGGGCCTGCAATTATTTTAGAAGGAACCCCACGCACTTTAAAAAAAAAAATTACTCTGGGTCTCTCCTAACCTCCCTACCAGACTTAAAGGGTCTAGTATGGATTAGGGGAGGGACCCCATGCTGTGGTTTTTTTTTTATAAAAAAATGTCAGTCCTGCTGCAGGATCTATACATTGTACAGCCGTGCAACTTTTCAGGTAGTGTAAGGGGACCCCCCAGGCATGACATTTTTTTTTTTTCTTTACTTTAACCATCACCTGTCCGGCCGTTTTATATAAACGGCCGGGAGGTGGCAGTGCAGGGGCGGGTGGTCGTTTATAAACGGCCTCCCTGCCCCCTGATTGTGCGTGCTCCCTGGGAGCGCGCAGCACCGCGATCCGGTGCCCGCTGTGTCCTCCGGACACAGTCATCATGCCTCTGTGTGATCATTGGCCAATCAGTGATCACATGCAGAGTTGAAAGCAGGGGCGGACTGATAACTCATGGGGCCCCCGGGCAATAGGGGATCATGGGGCCCCTGTGTCCTTGCCCAAACTCAAAAAAACCTATGAAAAAGGTACCAGGGGCATTTCATGGGGCCCCCTACTGACCCCGGGCCCTCGGGCAGTGCCCGAGTTTCCAAATGGTCAGTCCTCCCTGGTAGTAAGCAAGAAGTCACTTCTGCCATCATTGCTTACTACGTGTGAAATCTGTGAATGATCACAGAGATCACATGGTACAAGGCTATTCACAACAGCCTTGTACCATGTAACAAGCTGTGACCAATCACAGCTCACACAGTATTTTTCAATGGCTGCAAGAATGCAGCCAGAAAGAAGGAGACACTATACTGCTAGGGTGACAGTATGTAAAAAAAAATATATATAAATAATAATATAAAAAAAAATAAAAATGTAAAACAATTTTTAAAAATTTTAATTTTTGGTTATAAACTAATTTGGGTTACTGTGTTTTTACTAAAAAGATAAGATAACTGAAAAAATTTTGGCCAAGATTTATGATGAAATAATATTTATTTGCAAAATTTTATAAGAAAAACACTTTTTTCAAAATTTTTTGGACTTTTCATTTATATAGCAAAAAAGATCCCAGTGCTGAATAAATACCGTCAAAATAAAGCTTTATCTGTCTCCAGAAATGCTAAAAAAATTCATATGGGTACAGTGTTGCATGACCGCGCAATTGTCATTCAAGTGTGATAGCGCTGAAAGCTGAAAATTGGCCTGGACAGGAAAGGGGTCAAAGTGTCGGGACTTGAAGTGGTTAAGCAATGAAAAATGACTGCCAGTACTTTTTCAATTTTTTTTTCCACTGATTCATGTCCCTCAGGCAGTACCCGACTCCCCATATGGCCAATAACTTACAAAAAAGCCTTCAAAATGGGCACTTTTGAATTTACCAGTTTAAGTCCCATAGATTTGCATTGTGTTCAAAGTTCGCGGTCGAACTTTTGTTAGGTTTGAGTGTTCAGCCCATCACTAGTTAGTGCCCCCTTTGGGAGTGGATACAGTATTTGCCTTTATTTTTACTCCTCTTAATAAAACATACTACCGTGAAAAAAGAAAAGAAATGTAATAAAAACATTTTTTAAATATATATATTTTTTTTCATATTGTCACCAGTCAGTGTTCCTGATCACTGCCGCACCACTTACATGATGACGCTGTACTGCACTGGTGACAGTATATTTAAAAAAAATGGTGAGAAACTTTTTTTTCATTTGTTTGTTTTCCAAAAAATTATAACCAAAAAAATTGCAACTTCAAAAAACTCGTCATGCCTCTTACTAAATACTGCAGACTGTCTACTTTCCAAATAGGGGTAATTTTGGGGATATCTGTACCGTCCTGAAATTTTTGGGCCTCAAGAAATGAGATAGACTGCCGGTACATCAGGGATTGATCAATTTTCAGATATATAGTATAGTTTGTGGACTCTATAACTTTCCTACAGACTAAATAATATACACTGATTTCGGTTATTTTCACCAAAAAAATGTAGCAGTATACATTTTGGTCTAAATTTATAAAGAACAATTAATTATTTGCAAAATTGTATAACAGAAATGATGAAAAACTTGTTTTTTGGGGGTTTATTTTCAAAATTTTGGGTCTTTTTCATTTATTTAACAAAAAATAAAAACCCCAGTGGTGATTAAATACCACCAAAAGAAAGCTCTAGTTGTGTGAACAAAATGATAAAGTTTATTTTGGGTACAGTGTTGCACGTGCAATTGTCATTCAAACTGTGAGATTGCTGAAAGCTGAAAATTGGCCTGGGCAGGAAGGGGTAAAATTGCCCGGTATTGAAGTGGTTAAACGGGTAGCTGCCTTGATTGTTGGTTGTGTTTTGTTTGTTTTTTGACACATAGTTGTGGGATGGCGCTTTCTTATTATAAATTGAGGACATAATGAATACTGCTTGCAGCTATAGCCGCCGCCAGCAATCACATACTACATTTTTGACAGGCTGGTTGCACCCAAGTAGATCGATGGATCAGCTTGGGAACTGTCAGCCTACCCATAGATAGTTGCAAGAAAAAGTATGTGAACCCCTTGGGATTACGTGGAGTTTTGCATGAATTGGGCATAAAATGTGCTCTGAACGTCATCTAAGTCACAACAATAGAAGAACACAGTCTGCTGAACATAATACTATACAAACATTAGATGTTGCCATGGTTTAATTGCACATAACATGTAAACATTCACAGTGCAGGGAGGAAAAAGTATGTGAGGCCCTAGCTTAATGACTTCTCCCAGAGCTAATTGGAGCCAGGAGTGAGCCAACCTTGACTCCAATCAGTGTGATGATAGTGGATGTGTTGCTGACAGCTGTCCTGCCCTTAAAAAAAACACACACCTGTTTTGGGTTTACTGGTTTCAAGAAGCAATGTCTGATGTGAACCATGCCTCGCAGAAAAGAGCTCTCAGAAGACCTACGATCAAGAATTGTTGACTTGCATGAAGCTGGAAAGGGTTACAAAAGTATCGCCAAAAGCCTTGATGTTCATGTGTCCACGGTAAGACAGACTGTCTACAAATGGAGAAAGTTTAGCACTGTTGCTACTCTCCCTAGGCGTGGTCATCCTGTAAAAATGACTGCAAGAGCACAGCACAGCACGCCTTCTGGAGTGGCCCAGTCAGAGTCCTGACCTCAACCCGATTGAAATGCTGTGGCATGACCTTAAGAGAGCGATTCACACCAGACATCCCAAGAATATTGCTACACTGAAACAGTTTTGTGAAGAGGAGTGGTCCAAAATTACTCCAGATCGTTGTGCAGGTCTGATCTGCAACTACAGGAAACGTTTGGTTGAGGTTATTGCTGCCAAAGGAGGGTCAACCAGTTATAAAGTCCAAAGGTTCACATACTTTTTCCTCCCTGCACTGTGAATGTTTACATGTTATGTGCAATTAAACCATGGCAACATCTAATGTTTGTGTAGTATTATGTTCAGCAGACTGTGTTCTTCTATTGTTGTGACTTAGATGACGTTCAGAGCACATTTTATGCCCAATTTATGCAAAACTTCACGTAATCCCAAGGGGTTCACATACTTTTTCTTGCAACTGTAGATCGAATCTCGTCCATTCCTTGCTAACCTGGCTGAGATTCGATCCATCTATTACTGGCTTAAAGCTCTGAAGCTGAAGCTGTGGCAAGCCCCCTGCTGCTTGCTTTATGCACTACATTATTGGCAACGAGATTGCTCACCACATAGGGTCACCTATAGTAATGTTCAGGATGTGGGAGAAGTTGAACTGAAATTCAACTTTGTGTAACTGAGCACCCCAGGTTTGTGAATTCTGGGGTGCTCTGGAAGGTAACTAAAAGTATGTGTAGGTACTTCTTTTTAATATCCCTAGTGGCTTAGAACAATGAATACAGAGGTTAATTAAAGTGTGCGGTGTGTAACATAAAAGCATTACATCCTATTGTAACATTTGCCAGTATAGTGTGAATCCTGATGTGGTGCAATCACCAACTGGTTTCCTGTAGTGTATTTTATTAAGGTTCCACTTACTTTTGTTTTATTATATTTTTAAATAATACAAGAACAAGGAAAAAGAGAAATTCCGAAACATCCACAAACAAATACATAAATCATATATTGTCCAGAAAGAAAATTATTATTATTATTATACAGGATTTATATAGCACCAACAGTTTGCACAGCACTTTACAAAATGAAGGTAGACATTACAGTTACAATACAAATTGATACAAGAGGAAACAGAGGGCCCTGCTCGTTAGAGCTTACAATCTAGGAAATAGATATTATGAGTAAAATCAATTAGTAATTATGCCATTCTACTTTCAAATTCATGGTTTAATCTATATTTAGGAATAACATTCCTTAGGATATCTACTCCTGGAATAAAAAAGAAACTATTTTTTTAATGTTTTATATATAAATAAAATGTAATTTTTTACTTTTTAAGGATAAACAACATCTAAAACTGGAAAAAACAAAGTTACTGCAGAAGTGCGCCAATCAGGTAGCAGAAAAAAACAAACTCTGTGATGCTGCGGAGATTCTGAAATCAGAGAATATAGCTCTTAAAGGAAATGTGTTAAACACAGAAGCTACCTTAGACAAGGTAATACTAATCCACAGAAATGCTTAAACCACAATGCTAAATGTTAGGTACAAAATTATGACACTGTGGGGGTTATTTACTAAAACTGGTGAGTGCAAAATCTGGTGTAATGCCAGCCATAGACGGTTTGAAAATCGGACGATTTTTCGTCCGAAAGATTAATCGAACGATTTTCGCACTGTTAGTGGGTTGATTGGTCAGCCAGTTTTCAGGTTTTTTGCACTTTTGGATTATCGGTCATGTTGGAAAATTCGTGGAAAACGACCGAATTTCACGTCAATGATGGCCAAATCGTACCATCGTTTTTACGAAAAAAAATATGCGCATGAGCCGTGACCTGGAAGGAACAGAAGTTTTGGCTTTTATATGGGGTGAACTTTATGACTTGGTTGGCCGATTTTTGTAATCGTTGGTGGTTACGTTGGTTTAACAAACAACCGATTTTTCGTTTATCGTTCGAAAAAACGCACTGTTTTCGAGCCGTCTATGGCCTGCATAACTCTGTATAGAAACCAATCAGCTTCCAGGTTTTATTGCCAAAGCTTAATTGAAAAAGCTGAAGCTAGAAGCTGATTTGATACCATGCACAGCTGCACCAGATTCTGAGTGCACCAATTTTAGTAAATATACCCCTGCATGTTTTGATACACATTTCAGAATTTTCATTTGTTAGTTTTTGAGGCATATACATTGTATGCCATTAACCATTAAAGTGGCAATAAACCCGAAACCAACAAACGTTTATATATTGTAGTTTACCAATCATTAGGTGTGGTGTTTGCATCAGTTTTCTGCATCAGTTTTGACCTCCACAGTGCACATAGGTTTAACTTGCTGTGCTTCTGATATAATGGCTTAAAGTGTTACTAAACCACAACAGTAACATCAGTCTGTATATGCAGTAAAGCATGCTTGTTATACTCACTGTGGAACCTAAGGGGTTAATCCTCTGCATTGTGCAAAAAGGTTGTTGGATCCTTTCTTCTCTGCCCCTCCTCTTGTTGAAATGACCACCTAACACAGACTGAATCCGTAGACACATGCACATGCTCAGTTTGGTGTGTATTGCTAGAGAGGCATTTTTTTTCTTGGGAGGGTGCATGTGATCAGCAAAGGGCCAATC